ACTTACCGTTTAACTGAAAAATTCAAAAAAACCCATTTTTGCGTACTTTGAATTTTTTTTGCAGATGTGAGATCGATGGGTACTTTTCACGTTTCATTTATAATGGTGTTCCCAACATTCGTAACAGCTCTAGTTTTTCAGCTCTATGTGATATTAAAACCTTGAATGTCTTTTTTGACCGGACTATAATGGCTTACATTTTTTTATAAGAGGCAGAAAACCAGCATGCGGCTAACCTGATGGTAAATGATTACCGCCGTCCTTCGAGTATTAAACTAACAGGAGACGACATTGGAAAGCGTTCCCCGCTGTCAAAAGTACGAGAGCGCGGATCATTCCCGTTATATAAAACTAATTGCGCCGCCTACGACGTCAGTTACTAAGTAGTCGTAAGCGTGAGTTAACCTCCAGAAAAATGCGAGTTGCAGTGTGTTTTCTTGTAAAAAAAGAACACAGACCTCAAATTAACCAAAAGACGGCGTTACCTTTCACTTGTAACTATTTATTTTGATTTCAGTAATTAATATAAGCATTAAATCACGAAAATTCTGATTAATATAACTGAGCAGGTAGTGTTGCCAACTTAAAGTATTAATACTATAGTAAGGACTTTTGCGCCACTAGGACATAATTAAATTTTGCTTAATTGTAGACAAATGTCGTTTTTCTTTGTTCTAATTACACAAGACAAAATCGTGTTATTGAATAGTCTTAAATTCATCAATATTATTCTGATTTATTTGCAAAACTATATTATTTCAAACAACATTAATAATCTTTAATTATCTTTAATTGTTATTAACGAAATCAAATCATCAATTTAAATTGTTTTTTTTTTTTATATATAAGACGTTTTAAATAGATATTTTCATTTCGTTATGTTACGTTATGAAACGAAAAGAAGGGGAATTTCGGGTATATAAAATGGTATCATCAAGACAATAATAGTGATGTTCACAGTAATCTTTAGTGTCGATGTTTTTATTTGACTATAAATAATACCTTGATATATAATACCAAGGTGTTATTTAAAATTCTTTTTTGTACAATGTTTAAAAAAGATCTTTGGTTTTACAGTTTTCCAAAAGATCCTTACAGGCACCAAGTTTGGATAAAAGCATGTGGCAATCATATAACCTGGGTACCTAAACGAACAAGCACTATTTGTTCCGAGCATTTTGACCAATCGCTTTTCGTAATCCTATCAAACCATAAAAGGAAACTAAATGGAACTGCTGTACCGACTTTGAAGTTATTGGAAGTAAGTTTATTATTTTGCTACAGGTTTATTTTACCTAATTTAAAGGCCGGCAACGCATCTGCAATTCCCTCCCTGGTGTTGCAGTTGTTCATGGGCGGCGGTAGTCACTTACCATCAGGTGAGCCGCATGCTCGTTTGCCCCCTCTCCTATAAAAGAAAATGTAACAAATCGAAATGGAAGGTTTAGTGAACGATATTTATTCATTTGAAAATGTTATCTACATGTTTATCGTCTTAGATGGTGTCAACCAAATTGTTGTTTTCAGATGAGACGCGAATTATTAGCGCTTAAATAAATAAATAAGGCCAAACAAATAATCTCAGTGTTAACCAAGTATTTGTTTTAGGTAAGACACGAGTTATCAGCGCATAAAATTAAAGTAGGAATTTACTCATCGACTTTATCTTAAATAGCATTGAAATAATTTATTCATTTTTTTTATACTTATGAAATAACATTGCAAAATTAATAAATAACAGATATTGAACGCCCCTCCCCCCAATTGCGATTTGTCACATGTTTTCAATTTCATCATGTTTATACCTCAGATTTACAGACATAAATAGTCATCATCATCATCATTACAGCCCTTCACAAGTCCACTGCTGAACATAGGCCTCCCCCAAAGAATGCCACAAAGCACGGTCCTGAGCCACCTGCATCCATCGACTTCCTGCATGTCTTACCAGGTCGTCACTCCATCTCGTGGGGGGACGCCCTACACTTCGCCTACCGGTACGAGGCTGCCACTCGAGAACCTTTCTTCCCCATCGGTTGTCGGTTCTTCGAGCTATATGGCCAGCCCACTGCCACTTCAGCTTACTAATCCGTTGGGCTATGTCGGTCACTCTGGTTCTACTGCGGATATCCTGATTCCTAAGTTTATCACGCAGAGAAACTCCGAGCATAGCCCTCTCCATAGCTCGCTGAGCGACCTTGAGCTTCCTCATACGGCCAGCAGTGAAGGACCACGTCTCAGTTCCGTAAGTCATCACTGGCAACACGCACTGGTTGTACAATTTCCATAAATAAATAGTCATTTTTATACAAATAAAAGTTAATGAATTATACTTCGAATATTCAACATAAGTAGTAAGTAACATCTGGAATATTCGAAGCATAATTTAATTTGTTTCCAAGCATAAGAAATATTGTAAACCTTATCTAATCTATGAGAAACTTTAACCGTAGAATGTACTTGAATGTTCCTTGTTTGAGTTTTTAAACCCTTTTTGTAACTCCATTTGCAAAAATTTTTATTTATAAGTCTTTATTACATTTTAGAATAAACCATGCACGTTTGTTAATCTTGAAGAACAAAGTATTAAAAAACGAAAAGTTGACGAGCAATCGCTTGTGACATCAAAACTACCTCAGACTATAGCGAGTGACTTAAAACTGGTTGCATCTTCTTCGGAACACGATCCTGTGACACTTTTCTTCAAGTTTTCACACATAAATTACAAGATTCACTACGAAAACGAAAATTGAAGCAACACTTACAACAAAAAATAAATCATTTTAAAAGGCTCCAATCACAAAAACGCTATTTAAAAAAAAGTTGTTGGTTTGCAAGAGTTATTAAATGAAATATCCGGAAAATCTTTGATAAGTGAAGAAAGTAAAGTTGTTTACAAAATATTGGGTTGACCAAAATGAACTCATAAACAGACAACTGTTTAAAACTAAAACGGGGCATCTACCAAGGACTAAGTATTCTCCAGACCTCAGATGTTTTGCTTAAATTTTACATTACCATTCACCGAAAGCTTATCGATATGTGCGAAAAATATTTGGAACGTGTCTGCCCTCACCACGTACTATAAGAAAGTAGTATAGTACAATTGATTGCCGACCTGACTTCACAAAGGAAGCGTTAGCTGCTTTAAAACTTAGAGCAGAGAGCAACACAGACAAAAAATTGTATTGTACATTAGTGATAGATGAAATGAAAATAAAACAATTGACGGAGTACCATGCAAGTTCAAAAAGACATTTTGGTTATGTTAATTATGGATTTGACTTCATTTCTGACAATTCAGAGGAAGCCACTGATGCTTTAGTATTTTTATTAGTGGGAATCTAGTAATCCTAACAAGAAATTGTATTGTACATTAGTGATAGATGAAATGAAAATAAAACAATTGACGAAGTACCATGCAAGTTCTTCTTCTTCTTTTAAATTATGGCTTCTCTTGATAGAATTCTGCCAGTGCGCCATGCAAGTTCTAAAAGACATTTTGGTTATGTTAATTATGGATTTGACTTCATTTCTGACAATTCAGAGGAAGCCACTGATGCTTTAGTATTTTTATTAGTGGGAATCTAGTAATCCTAACAAGAAATTGTATTGTACATTAGTGATAGATGAAATGAAAATAAAACAATTGACGAAGTACCATGCAAGTTCTTCTTCTTCTTTTAAATTATGGCTTCTCTTGATAGAATTCTGCCAGAGCGCCATGCAAGTTCTAAAAGACATTTTGGTTATGTTAATTATGGATTTGACTTCATTTCTGACAATTCAGAGGAGGCCACTGATGATTTAGTATTCAGTAAAACATAATATAATACTTTTTCACTTTGTTTTAATTTTGGTAATTTTGTATTATTATTTTGTACCTTATGTATTTTTTTTAATTTACTTTGAATGTAATATTAAACATTAAACATACTTTTGTCTTATTGTTCATTTTTATATTATTTAATTTGCTAATGTAACTTTCATAAAATTTCATCGACATATCCATATCGAATTGAATACTCTAAGCCGCCGTCCCATGAAAAACTGCAACTCCAGGGGAATTGAAAACGTTAACAAAACGTGGTCCTTCACTGCTATCTGTGTGAGGAAGCTCACTCGCTATGCTATGCAGTTTTAAAAGAATAATTTTATTTTCAATAAAAATTATTTATGATCTATATTGTATAAAAAAATATTCTATTCTATTTTATTTATTTATGCTTTAGAGCAATCTAGTTAATCATATGAAAAATAAATGTTGTTGTGAAGCACTTTATCGAGAGATGGCGCCACATATCATTTATATCGTGATAGTGTTTTATAGGTTCCAAATAATAATATTTGTCATGTGAACGATTAACCAACGGAGTTAGCTAGAAACATATAAATATTTTTGGAACTCACGGTTGTTTAAGCCGCGAGATATGAGCCTGAGACTCAGTAGCAAGGAACATACTACTTAATAGCGATGAGTCGTTCTAGATAAATTATGAAGTATGAACTACTAGATACTAGTACTAGGTGCGCTTAGTTCAATTCCTGGAATTGAAATCCGTTTTTTACGGAATTGAATTCCCTATACCGTACCGTACCGTAATACTCGATCCAAATACATATTCCACCTAGACATAGGTTAATATCACTTTTACCCTATATCAAATCGCACCTATGTAAAGGTGATATCAGACGGTTCAATTTTTGTTCATTTTCACCTTTCATTCGGTACATTTCACTCGAAATGAAATGTCTGAACAAAATATGAAACACGAGTGCCGAATGAATTCATTAGTGAACCGATCCAACAGTGTTGGATATTGGCATCCGGTATCTTTCATTCCCACTCCGAATGAACGAGAAATGAACGGTCTGAACACTGAGAGAACGTTCATTCGGATTCGGCCATTTTGTTTCGAGTCCTGTAGCCGGCGGACATCACGTAGTCGACGAAGTTATATTTTTTTCTGTGTGTTATTATATTGTTTTCATGCGGCAAAATGGTGTTCAAGTGGAACGATCAAAATACATTACTTTTTTTGGAGAACTTTAAAAATTATCAATGCCTTTGGAACCACAAAATTGATGAATACAAAGACCGAACAATGCGGGCAAACTCTATAAAATCTCTAATCAGTGATTTAAACTTAGAGATTACTGAAGAAGATATTAAACATAAAATAAAAACGATAAGGACCCGGTATACAACAGAATTAACTAAAATAAAGCAGTCTACTAAAAGCGGTTGCTCTTCTGACGATGTCTATGTACCGACCCTGTACTGGTTTAAACATGCAGAATTTTTAAGCAGTGTATGCGTCCCACGGCAGAGTACATCAAGTCTCGTAAGTAGAATCTTTTATCAATCCATACTAATCCATATCCATAATATTAATCCATATCCTAGTAACTCTGTCTGTCTGTTCGATAAGCGACCACTACGTGAACAGAAGCTAGGTAGGTACCTACTTAATACTTATAATCAAACAAAAACAACGTATATGAATTGTATAGGTTTATTCAGTATTATTACATCATATTCTTCTTATCATGTTCCATTGCCATGGTACAGTGCATGAAGTGACGAACTTTTCTGCATATACGTCACGCACGCGGCGGGCATTTTCACTATGATTTCTTGCATTGGTTGGTGGTAAATCGCTTAATGCTAAAGATGGTACTTCTCGCCATTCTTCAGGTACAATGGACCCTGTGACCCAATCCTCAGTTTCCAGTGATCGTTGTTGTACGTAGTCCACTGTAGTTTTTCTGAGCCAATTATGTAATGCACACGTCGTTTTAACAAGTTGTTCAACTTTTTGCACTGACAATGGAATCGCCTTTTCATAGATTCAAAATTTTGATACTAATATTCCAAAAGAGTTTTCGACCACTCGACGAGCTCTTGACAGCCGATAGTTAAATATTTTTTGTTTATCGCCAAACTCTCCTCTAGTATTATATGGTTTCAAAACATCCGTCCGCAAAGGAAAGGCATCATCTGCGACGATTACGCCTTCCTTTGGGAAATTTAGAAGATTCGACAACAAAGCTTCATTCAGTGTTGATTTATTAAAGACGGATGCATCATTTGCCCTTCCGTTTGTCCCAACATCTATATAAATAAAATTATAATTCGCATCTACTACTGCAAATAGATGAATACTAAAATTCTTTTTGTAGTCGAAATATTCAGAGCCTGATCTTCCTGGGCATCTTATATTCACCAATTTTCCATCCATTGCACCACAACAGTTTGGAAAGTTCCATAATCTATAGTAGTCTTCCATTATGTTATTCCATTCATGTTGACTTCCAAGAACCTGTAATAATAAAAGTGTCAACATTTTAATTACAGGATGCACCACAGACTCAAAATGAAGACTCTGCTGAATCTGAGCAGACTCAATCTGGCAGTGAGGAACAGAAGACGCCAAATTCTGAGATTAGTAGGAATGGAAGTAGTGAACTGATGACTCCTTCATATTTTCGAAAGCCAACAAACAAGAAAAGGAAGATTGATATACCGATTGATAGAGCAATTAAATAATTAAAAACTAAAAGCGAGCAAGCCAAAGTACAAACTGAAGATGAGTTTGATTTGTTTTGCAAAAGTTTGGCAGTACAACTCAAGAAAATGCCCTTGAACAGGGCTTTGATATGTCAGGAAAAACTTCAATCTGTGATGACTCAGGAACGGTTAACACAGATGTCACAATCATTTCCTGAAGTAATTTACACGGACTCCAGCACTCCATCCCCATTTACTATCAACCAGTCGCCTCTATACCAAAATACAACACCGGAGTATAATTATAGTAACTACCTTGTCACCGAACAAGTTTATACGCAACCACACCTAGTGCCTGTACCCGTGAGTTCACCACAAGAGACCAATCAAGTCACAATTGTCCAAACATCCACCCAAGAGCAAGAAAACATACTCTCACAAGCTCTAAAAAGTATTATGTAAATGTTGATTGTCTAAATTAAAATGTTTCAAGAAAATAACTTAATATTTTATTAAATAGATATAACTGACCTTAATAACCTTTCCAAGGGCTGTCCAAATGGCTTCACATACTTCTTGAAAAAAGTAGGATATTGTATTTCGAGGTACTCTGTACAAAAACTCTAAACTTCCAAAACTATCACCTGTAGCCAGGTATCTCAGTACAATTTGAAGTTTTATCCGGGTAGGTATGCTATCTCTCATTAAAGTGTTTTCTTTCGTTATTAACGGAGCAACAAGAAGTAGAAGTTCTTCAAATTTACTTTCATCCATTCGAAGATGATTACAATATGAATCAGGATCTTCAACGGCTAGTTCTCTCAACAATGTATTGGAAGCTCCTAATAAATTTCTTCTTGCAATCCTTGGTCGCACCCACCACCGTCGACGTTTTCTATGCTTCTTTTTTGTCAACTCTTTGATTAAATGATCACAAATTAAACTAATTCCAAGACGTACGACTTCATTCGATGACATATTTAAAAGAAAGAACAATGAATGTTCATTTCTGTATCATTTCGTCTAAGCCGTGTGAACATAGAATGAAAAAAAAATGAAGCATTCACTCGAGTGAACAATCATTTGAGTGAACCGTTTGATATCACCTTAATGGATATGAAAATCCGGTTTTGTATCTATATATTTCAATATCTATATATTTAATGATTTCTTATATTTACGCGAACACTACACATTGAATAAAACTATTTTTACGGATTTTATCGCGTTTTATTAACTTATTTTATATTCCCGACGTTTACCGTGACCACGGTTGCTGGAAAGCAACCGAAACGTCGGGAATATAAAATAAGTTAATTAAACGCGATAAAATCCGTAAAAATAGTTTTATTCATTTTTACGGATCTATATATTTGTTAATACATATCTTCGTTCTGAATAGAAGTCGGTACTCAGTATAACATGCAGGCAGGGACTTAAATACCGTTAAAATACAGTAACGTTATTTGCGCAAGTGCGAGATAGCGTTATGTTTAAGAGAAACGATATGTCAAAACGATATTATGCAAAGCTTTGCATGTATATAACGTTATAATTACGTTACAATAAATTTGTCAAAAAATAAACGTTTCTAAAATATTGTTATCACAAAATCATAATGTTATTATTTATTGGTCTATGCCATCTCTTTTACTCGTATGATCTATCGAATGCAGTGCTCTAAAATTATAGGCTAAAAATACGTTTTGTGGTCGTTAGCGGAGCAATTGAAATATCAACTGTAGTAGTACATACAACTCGGAATATGGGTGTTTCAAAATAAATAGTTCATAAACGTTGTATTACATTCATAACAATAAAATGGTGTTCTTAATATCTTACCGCATACATTAAGGATTGTGTAGACAAAATAATGGTATAGAAGTTGAAATATTCTTCTATATTATTGTTAAACTAGATTATAAGTATGTTACATTGCCCTTGAATTTCATAAGTAATGTGAAAAAAAACATGTGTGAGTGTTGTGGAACACTCGGTTGGAACGAAGTACATTTCGTAGTATATTATATTATTATTATTGATAAACGTATTATATTATTGATTAACAAATACAATGAATTACTAGCGTCTATTAAAATTAAGGATCATTTAAAATAAAATAATATTTCTTTCATGGTAAGATAAGAAAAAGTGCGAGGGAGATGGATATTATTCCATCTCGCTTTTTTATACGTCAGAAGGGGTCGTGACGGAAAAATCTTACATTTTTTCTCACCTAGCCCCCATCCGCCAAATTCGTACCGTCCAATAAGGAACTTCGTTCCAATAAGTCTGCCTTGTCTATTTAATTTATTTGAATTCCAGGTTGATCTATCCACATATCAATACATAGTTGAAACTCTACTTAGCTTATCTGCTTATACTACATCAATCTGTAGTATTGAAGTGACACCAAGAAAGACGATAATGTTAAAAAAAATATCTAAATTAAAGAGAAGAATAATAGACAAAGAAAAGAGTTAAAAAAATGGACATGGTCAAAATAAAGTATAGGATAGATCTAAAGGAAAGTAAAGTAAAGTAAAGTTGCAGCCTATTTACGTCCCACTGCTGGGCACAGGCCTCCTCTCATTTCTGAGACGGTTTTAGGTCAAGGAAATGTCCGCCGCACTGCCCCAATGCGTGTTGGTGAACTTCACATGTCTTTGAAATATTTTTTTTCTTACTTCTCAGACATGCAGGTTTCCTCACGATGTTTTCCTTCACCGCCGAGCACGTGGTAAAGCAGCACTTAAAATTGCAATTAACAATTTCATTGGTGCTGGTGGGGATCGAACCCGGGTTTCACGAGTACTGTGAAGCTTACAGCGAGCGATATATATATATATATATATATATATATATATATATATATATATATATATATATGTATAATACAAATTCTCTGCCACTTCAAAGTATATTAGTATTAAGTGATTTTCTTTCCATGCACATAAGAAAAGAACATAGTTTTGCAATATATTAAATGTGGATAGAGAGGAAGAGTTTTGCTAAACAAACTTAAGTGTGGAGACATTATCGCAGTTTGGCATTCTGAGCTTCTCAGCATAATGATGTAAAATCGTTAAGATATTTATTTATATCCTTAAAGATAAAATAGGTTAAATTTACCCATCAAAAGACGTGATTAATGTATACGTGATATTTTGTGAAACAAAGACCTAGAACAATTATTTGTAGGCCATACAAATATTTATTCCGTTCGGGAAACGAACCCGCGGCCCTTAGCGCTGCAACTCATTGTTACGCCACTGCGACACGGAGACGTCAATTAATTGTCACCTGGATCCTATATAATTTTTGGTTATTTTTGATTTGTTACGCTAAAAAAGTGTAAATTCCTACGTGCGTATATCATCACTTGCCCTTCACGGATGCATCATTTGCCCTTCCGTTTGTCCCAACATCTATATAAATAAAATTATAATTCGCATCTACTACTGCAAATAGATGAATACTAAAATTCTTTTTGTAGTCGAAATATTCAGAGCCTGATCTTCCTGGGCATCTTATATTCACCAATTTTCCATCCATTGCACCACAACAGTTTGGAAAGTTCCATAATCTATAGTAGTCTTCCATTATGTTATTCCATTCATGTTGACTTCCAAGAACCTGTAATAATAAAAGTGTCAACATTTTAATTACAGGATGCACCACAGACTCAAAATGAAGACTCTGCTGAATCTGAGCAGACTCAATCTGGCAGTGAGGAACAGAAGACGCCAAATTCTGAGATTAGTAGGAATGGAAGTAGTGAACTGATGACTCCTTCATATTTTCGAAAGCCAACAAACAAGAAAAGGAAGATTGATATACCGATTGATAGAGCAATTAAATAATTAAAAACTAAAAGCGAGCAAGCCAAAGTACAAACTGAAGATGAGTTTGATTTGTTTTGCAAAAGTTTGGCAGTACAACTCAAGAAAATGCCCTTGAACAGGGCTTTGATATGTCAGGAAAAACTTCAATCTGTGATGACTCAGGAACGGTTAACACAGATGTCACAATCATTTCCTGAAGTAATTTACACGGACTCCAGCACTCCATCCCCATTTACTATCAACCAGTCGCCTCTATACCAAAATACAACACCGGAGTATAATTATAGTAACTACCTTGTCACCGAACAAGTTTATACGCAACCACACCTAGTGCCTGTACCCGTGAGTTCACCACAAGAGACCAATCAAGTCACAATTGTCCAAACATCCACCCAAGAGCAAGAAAACATACTCTCACAAGCTCTAAAAAGTATTATGTAAATGTTGATTGTCTAAATTAAAATGTTTCAAGAAAATAACTTAATATTTTATTAAATAGATATAACTGACCTTAATAACCTTTCCAAGGGCTGTCCAAATGGCTTCACATACTTCTTGAAAAAAGTAGGATATTGTATTTCGAGGTACTCTGTACAAAAACTCTAAACTTCCAAAACTATCACCTGTAGCCAGGTATCTCAGTACAATTTGAAGTTTTATCCGGGTAGGTATGCTATCTCTCATTAAAGTGTTTTCTTTCGTTATTAACGGAGCAACAAGAAGTAGAAGTTCTTCAAATTTACTTTCATCCATTCGAAGATGATTACAATATGAATCAGGATCTTCAACGGCTAGTTCTCTCAACAATGTATTGGAAGCTCCTAATAAATTTCTTCTTGCAATCCTTGGTCGCACCCACCACCGTCGACGTTTTCTATGCTTCTTTTTTGTCAACTCTTTGATTAAATGATCACAAATTAAACTAATTCCAAGACGTACGACTTCATTCGATGACATATTTAAAAGAAAGAACAATGAATGTTCATTTCTGTATCATTTCGTCTAAGCCGTGTGAACATAGAATGAAAAAAAAATGAAGCATTCACTCGAGTGAACAATCATTTGAGTGAACCGTTTGATATCACCTTAATGGATATGAAAATCCGGTTTTGTATCTATATATTTCAATATCTATATATTTAATGATTTCTTATATTTACGCGAACACTACACATTGAATAAAACTATTTTTAC